TTAGCTAGCTAGCTTGATGTTGCTGTAGCTAAAAACGAGGTTAGTGACACACCGACACGCCAAATGCATGTTGCAAGGCCAATGGGTCTTCATCACTGTCGCTGTCAATCAGAGTCTCAAAAATAGATGAAACAACATTGTTTACTACCCAAAAGAGAGCAGTCACGCCTTCTCTGTTTTCAGCCATTTTTATTTGTGAACCGTTTTATCGTAAGTAAATTCGTCATTATCAAGCGCTCTAAATGCATTTTCAGAGCAGAGCGTCCAGAGTGAATTTATGAACGCACCCCAACAGGAACCGGCCAACCTCCTGCAGAGCGTCCAGAGTGAATTTATGAACGCACCCCAACAGGAACCGGCCAACCTCCTGCAGAGCGTCCAGAGTGAATTTATGAACGCACCCCAACAGGAACCGGCCAACCTCCTGCAGAGCGTCCAGAGTGAATTTATGAACGCACCCCAAGAGGAACCGGCCGACTTCCTGCTACTGTTGCCATTCTTATTTTATTTTTTTAGAACTTGAGCTTTGATGCAGCCAACTTTTTAAATAATGCACTTTCTATAATGAAAAAATTATGCTATTAAATGTGTAATTTGGTGTAATTAACACTGTAGACATCAATTACAATGTCCAGAACAATCCTACCTCGGCTTCATGTGTTTTTATATTTGTCTGTTTCCCTTTCAATGCCTTGTACTGTCTTTCCTTTAGAAACCCCCCAGATATCCTCCAAATCAATTCCTTTCCTGTTGGTTTTACGCTCTATTTCTCCTCCTTCTTCTTGTTGTCCTGATGTCCTAGTCCCTCAGTCCTACCCTTCTTGGTTCTTGCCAGATGATCAACATGACTTAGTAGACTAGCTAGCTTTCAGAGCCAGGTTTAACCAATCTCTCGAAATCTCTCTCAAAATCAAACAATCTTCTCAAAGGAAAACCATCTCCAGATGTGGAGAACACGGCACTGCATTGAAACAACCAAACTGTTCACGAAAAAACTTAATAATTTAACAAAAATAATCACATTTTAGGAGGAGCTCTCTCAACTGCTGCTGTTCAGTTAGATGGTGATGTCACAATCAGTATAAAATGGGCCATAACCTGTAAACTAGATCCCACTCTGTAACTTTGATCTGCACATAGAAAATCCACCAAATCATGGTCTTTTTTTTTCTCCTACTAATTTCGTGAGAAATCACCCGTATATGGTTATCAGACGTCTCATTCTCAAGCACACTATTTCTAATATTCTCTAGTTCCCCCCCCCGCCCCCTGCATTATTTCGAAAGGAAATTCAGTATCACTCGTGGTCCGCTTTGCAGTGTCACTCCAGTGTGTGATCACCACTCACTCTGTGGTCCGCTCTGCAGTGTCACTCCAGTGTGTGATCACCACTCACTCTGTGGAGTTTGGAGAAGTATTGCAGTGACGTGGCGGACGCTGCAGCCTGGGGGGGACAACTGGAGGTACCTTCATCCAAAGGACCCAACAGAGCACCTGGTGTTATAATGGTTTTATACTGATTTATAAATTATCTATAAACTATTTAAACATTTTACAAACTACTTATAGATCCTTTATAGTTAGCGTACCTTCCTGTGAAATGTTACCAAAATGGGGTCACATATACTCAGTGATTCATGTATGATCCTTCTTTGTTCCCTTACAGCTGAGAGCTCTGACGCGGGTCAACTGCCAATAGAAGTGCTCCAAGCCGATTCTCCAGCGATAATCATCGGAGAGGAATTTGACAAGTCACCCATCACCATTATGTAAGTACCATGTCACCTCCATACTTCCCCAGCTTCATCTACCAATGAATTTGAGTGGTTATAATTCTCCAGCCCCATTCTTCAGCCTTGACGGGGCTGCCATTTGGCTGAAAAACTAATTATCCAAATGATGGATTGTGCCTTTAATTGTTGATATTGTGTTTCAGTTACATGCATATGGACTGGGTGAACACTACAACTCAGTGGAACGTCTGAAGGAACTCCATGCGTCATGCATATGGACTGGGTGAACACTACAACTCAGTGGAACGTCTGAAGGAACTCCATGCGTCATGCATATGGACTGGGTGAACACTACAACTCAGTGGAACGTCTGAAGGAACTCCATGCGTCATGCATATGGACTGGGTGAACACTACAACTCAGTGGAACGTCTGAAGGAACTCCATGCGTCATGCATATGGACTGGGTGAACACTACAACTCAGTGGAACGTCTGAAGGAACTCCATGCGTCATGCATATGGACTGGGTGAACACTACAACTCAGTGGAACGTCTGAAGGAACTCCATGCGTCATGCATATGGACTGGGTGAACACTACAACTCAGTGGAACGTCTGAAGGAACTCCATGCGTCATGCATATGGACTGGGTGAACACTACAACTCAGTGGAACGTCTGAAGGAACTCCATGCGTCATGCATATGGACTGGGTGAACACTACAACTCAGTGGAACGTCTGAAGGAACTCCATGCGTCATGCATATGGACTGGGTGAACACTACAACTCAGTGGAACGTCTGAAGGAACTCCATGCGTCATGCATATGGACTGGGTGAACACTACAACTCAGTGGAACGTCTGAAGGAACTCCATGCGTCATGCATATGGACTGGGTGAACACTACAACTCAGTGGAACGTCTGAAGGAACTCCATGCGTCATGCATATGGACTGGGTGAACACTACAACTCAGTGGAACGTCTGAAGGAACTCCATGCGTCATGCATATGGACTGGGTGAACACTACAACTCAGTGGAACGTCTGAAGGAACTCCATGCGTCATGCATATGGACTGGGTGAACACTACAACTCAGTGGAACGTCTGAAGGAACTCCATGCGTCATGCATATGGACTGGGTGAACACTACAACTCAGTGGAACGTCTGAAGGAACTCCATGCGTCATGCATATGGACTGGGTGAACACTACAACTCAGTGGAACGTCTGAAGGAACTCCATGCGTCATGCATATGGACTGGGTGAACACTACAACTCAGTGGAACGTCTGAAGGAACTCCATGCGTCATGCATATGGACTGGGTGAACACTACAACTCAGTGGAACGTCTGAAGGAACTCCATGCGTCATGCATATGGACTGGGTGAACACTACAACTCAGTGGAACGTCTGAAGGAACTCCATGCGTCATGCATATGGACTGGGTGAACACTACAACTCAGTGGAACGTCTGAAGGAACTCCATGCGTCATGCATATGGACTGGGTGAACACTACAACTCAGTGGAACGTCTGAAGGAACTCCATGCGTCATGCATATGGACTGGGTGAACACTACAACTCAGTGGAACGTCTGAAGGAACTCCATGCGTCATGCATATGGACTGGGTGAACACTACAACTCAGTGGAACGTCTGAAGGAACTCCATGCGTCATGCATATGGACTGGGTGAACACTACAACTCAGTGGAACGTCTGAAGGAACTCCATGCGTCATGCGTATGGACTGGGTGAACACTACAACTCAGTGGAACGTCTGAAGGAACTCCATGCGTCATGCATATGGACTGGGTGAACACTACAACTCAGTGGAACGTCTGAAGGAACTCCATGCGTCATGCGTATGGACTGGGTGAACACTACAACTCAGTGGAACGTCTGAAGGAACTCCATGCGTCATGCATATGGACTGGGTGAACACTACAACTCAGTGGAACGTCTGAAGGAACTCCATGCGTCATGCGTATGGACTGGGTGAACACTACAACTCAGTGGAACGTCTGAAGGAACTCCATGCGTCATGCATATGGACTGGGTGAACACTACAACTCAGTGGAACGTCTGAAGGAACTCCATGCGTCATGCGTATGGACTGGGTGAACACTACAACTCAGTGGAACGTCTGAAGGAACTCCATGCGTCATGCGTATGGACTGGGTGAACACTACAACTCAGTGGAACGTCTGAAGGAACTCCATGCGTCATGCATATGGACTGGGTGAACACTACAACTCAGTGGAACGTCTGAAGGAACTCCATGCGTCATGCATATGGACTGGGTGAACACTACAACTCAGTGGAACGTCTGAAGGAACTCCATGCGTCATGCATATGGACTGGGTGAACACTACAACTCAGTGGAACGTCTGAAGGAACTCAAGAGGAAGGCTGAGACGCATTGAGTTAAATTATAATGAATGATAAAGTCAAGCAGGGGTGGAGATATAAACAATTTGGGAACCAACCAATGTAAAACCTTTGAATTCACAATGTCAAATGACAAAATGATTTCACTTCTAGAGAGCCACCCCCCTCCCCCCACATACAGTTTACAGTCTAGATAAAGTGCTTGCAGTCCAAGGAATTCGATGGGAGGAGAGAGGCCGAGAGACTGAAAATAATACCACCACCTAACTATGTGGGGACTGAGGGAATATTTACCGTCACAGTGAGCTGAGGCAGAATTGGAAGTAACTTTGTACATCCTTCATCAGTGCTTGTGAATACTCTTGATATCATCATGGAAATGTTATCTATTAAATATTGCTTTTGGTGGTGATGTGCTGTTATTTCCAATGACTGCAATATCAAAGGCTGATTGTCTTGTATGTGTGTATGCTGATGGACAATATTGTCTCATACAATAAAATGTTTTTTAATTCCAGTTTCATTTCCGCTGGAAAGACATTAATGCAAAAAACTTTACAGCATATTGTCCTGTTGATTGTTGAATGACCAATGTGCCAAAATGTTTATTTAAATTCAACACGTGTGATGAGGTTAGGGAAATGCTCTTTTAGTAGCTAGAATGGTTCTGAAGTTCAAACGATACATTTTGTTTATAAAATGATGTCCAGAAGAAGGAAATCCCAAACCAATCTCCTGTAGTAAGAAGAAACCGATTTCCAGGAGACCGCCAGAGTTCACTAAAGTGTCGCTAATGGGATTTTGGTCAGTTGACCAAGCATATTGTTTCTATGGGAACCTGCCTACCTTGTAGGAGTTGTGCTTTTATTCTGTCTAACAGATCATGGCTAACAATCTGGTTATTAGAGCTTTGAAAGCTAACTCAAAGTCGTTCAATTTGAGCTCGAAGAAAATGACCGACGTTCCCAAATCGGTTGCCAGATTAACAACTATTTCGACCCTTCGGTTGAACAATAACAGCCTTACAACCCTGCCGGTGGAACTGCGGACCTTACAACGCGTGAGTAACGTTAACGACGGACAGTTATGTCTTGGGTTATTTTACTTGCCTGCTAGCTATATAACCTATGTATTTATCTTGCATATGTTGCTTTTTGTTATCTATTTGCATACTGCAAAGCTGACAGAACTCAATTTGGGAAATAATGCTCTGGAGGAGATCCCGTCTGTCCTGAAGTACCTGAACTCCTTGAAAAAACTTTATTTGTTTGGAAACCACATTACAAGATTGCCACCAGAGGTGTTGGGTAAGCTGTCCTGCTGTCTATGGATTAAGAAGACTTAAATAGGTACTGTACAGTACCATCATCATCACTCATCATCATCATCATCATCACTATATCTTGTATCTTGCAGAAGGACTTCATAACCTCACTCTCCTCAATCTGAACCACAATCACATCTCAGTCCTTCCACCAGAGATTAAAAGGTACCAATTTGTTGACCAATAGCCTAATTGTGATTCATACAGCAAACCTGTAGATGGTATTAGAATAGGCTACATAGGCTGTGTTTACACAGCCAGCCCAGGTCGGACATTTCCCCACTAGGCTAATTGGTCTTTTGACCAATCACGTCAGATATTTTCACATCAGCTCTTTTTCAGGGCTAACCTGGCGACCCAGACACCTTGCTCTGGTCAAATGCTAGGCCACGCCCACAGACGTTAGTTTCTTCTCCTCGATGAGTCTGGATCTAATGTAGTCCCGTGTAGCTCAGTTGGTAGAGGATGGTGCTTGCAACGCCAGGGTTGTGGGTTCGATTCCCACGGGGGGACCAGTATGAAAATGTATGCACTCACTAACTGTATGTCGCCCTGGATAAGAGCGTCTGCTGAATTACTAAAACATGTTTTTTAAAGAATGGATCTGAGTACCTCCCCGACCCTTCACTGAATACCAACACTTTGGGCTCCCGAGTGGCGCAGCGGTCTAAGGCACTGCATCTCAGTGCCAGAGGCGTCACTACAGACCCTGGTTCGATTCCAGGATGTATCACAACTGGACGTGATTGGGAGTCCCATAGGGCGGCGCACAATTGGCCCAGCGTCGTCCGGGTTTGGCCGGTGTAGGCCGTCATTGTAAATAAGAATTTGTTCTTGCCTAGTTAAATAAAGATAAAATACAAATTAGGGGCTGTCTGATTGGTCCAGAAACCGATGGGTTGGGCCAGAGCCAGAACACGTGGTTTGAAAATTCGTCATTGGCTTTGATACTCTGATTGGTTAGAGACGATCCAATTGCTGATGACTTCGTTTTGTCAAAGGCCCTCGTGCCCCTCGTCACAACAAACGACTTCAATGATGGCCGTCTCAGACTGAAGTATGTAGCGAACCACAGAGCAGCAGAACAATTCAGTGTGAGTCGTCAGGCTATCTGATTGGTCAAAACACCAATTAGTGAAATCTCGGTTAACCCAGAACTAAAACCTTGAGTATTTTGGTATTTTTCGAAAAGATCTGATGTGATTGGTCAAAAGACAAGCTGGTAGAGCACGGCGCTTGTAACGCCAAGGTAGTGGGTTCGATCCCCGGGACCACCCATACACAAAAAAATGTATGCACGCATGACTGTAAGTCGCTTTGGATAAAAGCGTCTGCTAAATGGCATATTATTATTTATTATTATTAAAGACCAATTAGTGTAAAAAAGATCAGAGTTTGGCTTTCTGTGTAAACACAGCCTCTCTAAACATATTGAGGATCTGACCAAATTACTCAAGATTTTAGTTCTGGGTTAACCGAGATTAGGCTAGATAAAGAAATATCTCATAACCACATGTTCTATTTTCTCAGTCTTTCTAACCTGGAAACCCTCAGTTTACTGGACAACCAATTGGAGGAACTTCCTGTAGAAATAGGTTTTCTCAAGAAGATGGTTGAGATTAATTTAACCAACAACGAGCTGGGCAGACTGCCCAAACAGATATACAGTTTGTCACAACTGGCCAGATTATATCTGGCAAGAAACAACCTCACAGAACTGCCAGAGGTAGGTGTTGTTCAGGCTCTACTTGATGTCTGATGTTTCATCTTTCTTAGGTATCTTTGTTAATATTGTGCTTGTGTCATTTTCTCTGGCCTTGCTTCAAATTAGGTTACCGATCCTCCACTCTGTTAGGTTTCATTGTTAGTCAGTTTTATAAAATGAATCTGTTCCATGACCTGATGGTTTACTGTCCCTAAACCTGTCCTCTTTTCCCTCAGGGTGTTATTGGGCTGATGAAGCTCAGAGTGCTGGATGTGGCTGGAAACCGTTTATCCATGTTTCCTGTCGATGTATGTACCGTTTTGTCTTCACCACAATATTGTTTACAGTACAACAACAACAAGATATAGCACAATATGAAGATGTTATTGTTAGAGGAGGTAGGCCTAATGGTGTTGCTGTCTACAGTTAGAGGAGGTAGGCCTAATGGTGTTGCTGTCTACAGTTGTTAGAGGAGGTAGGCCTAATGGTGTTGCTGTCTACAGTTGTTAGAGGAGGTAGGCCTAATGGTGTTGCTGTCTACAGTTGTTAGAGGAGGTAGGCCTAATGGTGTTGCTGTCTACAGTTAGAGGAGGTAGGCCTAATGGTGTTGCTGTCTACAGTTGCTAGAGGAGGTAGGCCTAATGGTGTTGCTGTCTACAGTTGTTAGAGGAGGTAGGCCTAATGGTGTTGCTGTCTACAGTTGTTAGAGGAGGTAGGCCTAATGGTGTTGCTGTCTACAGTTGTTAGAGGAGGTAGGCCTAATGGTGTTGCTGTCTACAGTTGTTAGAGGAGGTAGGCCTAATGGTGTTGCTGTCTACAGTTGTTAGAGGAGGTAGGCCTAATGGTGTTGCTGTCTACAGTTAGAGGATGTAGGCCTAATGGTGTTGCTGTCTACAGTTAGAGGAGGTAGGCCTAATGGTGTTGCTGTCTACAGTTGTTAGAGGAGGTAGGCCTAATGGTGTTGCTGTCTACAGTTGTTAGAGGAGGTAGGCCTAATGGTGTTGCTGTCTACAGTTAGAGGAGGTAGGCCTAATGGTGTTGCTGTCTACAGTTGTTAGAGGAGGTAGGCCTAATGGTGTTGCTGTCTACAGTTGTTAGAGGAGGTAGGCCTAATGGTGTTGCTGTCTACAGTTGTTAGAGGAGGTAGGCCTAATGGTGTTGCTGTCTACAGTTGTTAGAGGAGGTAGGCCTAATGGTGTTGCTGTCTACAGTTGTTAGAGGAGGTAGGCCTAATGGTGTTTGCTGTCTACAGTTAGAGGAGGTAGGCCTAATGGTGTTGCTGTCTACAGTTGTTAGAGGAGGTAGGCCTAATGGTGTTGCTGTCTACAGTTGTTAGAGGAGGTAGGCCTAATGGTGTTGCTGTCTACAGTTGTTAGAGGAGGTAGGCCTAATGGTGTTGCTGTCTACAGTTGTTAGAGGAGGTAGGCCTAATGGTGTTGCTGTCTACAGTTAGAGGAGGTAGGTCTAATGGTGTTGCTGTCTACAGTTGTTAGAGGAGGTAGGCCTAATGGTGTTGCTGTCTACAGTTAGAGGAGGTAGGCCTAATGGTGTTGCTGTCTACAGTTGTTAGAGGAGGTAGGCCTAATGGTGTTGCTGTCTACAGTTCCAGTTTCTGGCCCTGAACGAGCTGCTCTGTGAAGGAAACACGTTTGTGAAGAGCAAGCTGATGGAATCTGTTCAAGCTGTGGAGGTGCTGTCATTGAAGGTAAGCTCTCATCGTCGGCGAAATAGGCTATGTCAGAGGTCTCCAACTCCAGTCCTGCAGGAGTACATGGTGTGCAGGCTTTCGTTCCAGCCCTTCAGTAAATGCTACATTTGTATTATATTAAATTCCATTTGTTTTATTTGTACTTCTTCTTATTTCTTATTGTTGTGGTATTTTGGAGAGGGAACCTGCAGTCAGCAGTGCATTGGACTGGGTACACCATGTGTATCCTGAGCATATGAAAACAACTGGAACATTAACACACCTGATTTAGCTGATCATTACTCAACACACCACACCAAAACACACCACAACACCAAAACACAACACACCAAAACACACCACAACACCAAAACACACCACAACACCAAAACACAACACACAACACCACACCACAACACCATCAGTAGTACTGACCTGTTGCCATCTCTGTATCTCTGTCTCCAGGAGCTGTCTGCTCGTCAGATCCTGGTGGAGGACAGGAATAGGTTCAGTATGGTTCACCTGGCTCTGTCCTGCCACCCTGGTCTGGGCCTGCTGCTGGCTGACAGGGGCACGTGTGCCCTCTGCCTCCAACCCTTTCTCACCACCTGGCTGGAGTGTGTACGCTTCATCAACCTCAGGAAGGTACAGTTACAGAGAGTATACGTCCCAAATGGCACCCTATTCCCTACATAGTGCACTATAAATCAAATCAAAGTTTATTGGTCGCATACACAGATTTTCAGATGTTATCGCAGGTGCAGCGAAATGCTTGTGTTTCTAGCTCCAACAGTGCAGTAATACCTAGCAATACAATAAACAAAACACAATACACAGATAATCCAAAAAAGCAAGTGGGGACAACAGGCTGGGATAGGGAGGGATTGAATATGTCTGTAAACGTTCCAGCCAGCTGGTCTGCAGATGCTCTGAGGACGTTAACACGCTTAAATGACTTATTCACGTCGGCCACAGAGGAAGAGAGCACACAGTCCTCGTGAGCGTTGGGGGCCCTGTCGGCGGCTCAGTATTGTTTTCCTTTAAGCGAGCAAAGAAGGTGTTTAGCTCGTCCAGGAGCGAGGCGTCGGTGTCCGCAACATGGCAGGCTTTCCCTTTGTAATCTGTGATTGTCTGGAGTCCCTGACACATACGTCTCATGTCTGAGTCGTTGAATTGCGACTCCCCTTCGTCCCTGTACTGACGTTTTGCCTCTGATTGCCTTACGGAGGTCATAGCTGGTTCCCAGTCACCTTGCCGTGGTTAAATGCGGTGGTTCGCGCTTTCAGTTTTTCGTGAATGCTGCCGTTTATCCACGGTTTTTGGTTTGGATAAGTTCTAATCGACACAGTGGGAACAACATCCTCTATGCAGTCAGTCACCGAGTCAGTGTATACGTCAATACTATTTTCTCAGAAGTGACCCAGAACATTTCCTAGTCCGCGTCATCAAAACAATGTTGAAGCATAGATTCCGATTGGTCAGACCAACGTTGAACAGTCCTTACCACGGGTATTTCCTGTTTAAGTTTCTGCCTATAGGAGAGGAGGAGCAGAATGGAGGCTTGATCTGATTTGCCGAAGGGAGGGTGGGGGAGGGCCTTGTAGCTGTCCCGGAAGGGGACTATGATCCAGGGTCCATGTTAAGTATGTTGCACAGGAGATGTGTTGATAGAATTTCAGTAGTGATTTCCTTTATTAAAGTCCCCAGCTACAATAAATGTGACCTCAGGATATGCGGTTTCCATTTTGCACAAAGTCCAGTGTAGCTCCTTGAGAGCCGTCATGGTGTCGGCTTGGGGGGAATATTCACGGCAGTGACAATGACTGAAGAAAATTATCTCGGGTGGTAATTCGGTCTGCATTTGATTGGGAGGTATTCCAGATTGGGAGAACAAAAGGACTTGAGTTCCTGTACGTTACCACAATCACACCATGAGTTGTTAATCATCAAACAAACCGCCCTGCCTTTGTTTTTCCTGGAGAGTTCTTTCTTCCTGTCCACATGATGGACAGAGAACCCCGCTGGCTGAATGGACGGGGGCAATATATCCGGAGAGAACCATGATTCCGTAAAACAGAGTATGTTACAGTCCCTGATGTCTCTCTGGAAGGAGATCCTCGCCCTGAGATCATCTACTTTGTTGTCCAGGGACTGTATCTTAGTGAGTAATATACTCTGAAGGGGTGGATGGTATGGTATGGATGGCACACCGCCTGAGTCTGACTAGGGCCCCTCTTCTTCTACCTCTTCTCTGGCGTCGGCGTTTTGGTGCAGACCTGGGATGAATACAGCTGCCTCGGGAAGTTCAAGCAAAGGATCCAGGTCAGGGAATTTCTGCTCTAAGTTCTAATGAGTGACCGCCAATCAAATATCCAGAAGTTTGGCTAGCAGATAGAGACAGGGCGACCGTGTCTGTTTGTTTTTATTTTTACATCAACCTCTTTTACATCCCACCTCTTTAAGGAACACCTGGGATAGGATAAAGTAATCCTTCTAACCCCCCCCCTTACACCACCCCACCCCCCACAAAAAAAAAAAAAAAAAAAAAAAGATTTGTAAAGTGTTTATCCCACTGGCTATAAGGTGAATGCACCAATTTGTAAGTCGCTCTGGATAAGAGCGTCTGCTAAATGACGTAAATGTGCCCTTGAGCAAGGCACTTAACCCTAATTGCTCCTGTAAGTGGCTCTGGATAAGAGCGTCTGCTAAATGACGTAAATGTGCCCTTGAGCAAGGCACTTAACCCTAATTGCTCCTGTAAGTGGCTCTGGATAAGAGCGTCTGCTAATGAGTGGTCCTCTGTAGCTCAGCTGGTAGAGCACGGCGCTTGAAACGCCAAGGTAGTGGGTTCGATCCCCGGGACCACCCATACACAAAAAAATGTATGCACGCATGACTGTAAGTCGCTTTGGATAAAAGCGTCTGCTAAATGGCATATTATTATTATTATTAAATGACGTAAATGTAATGTAAATGTACGGTAACTGAGATAGGGTGCGTCCCCTACCTAGTGCACTACTTTGACAGTATACAAAACATGGTTGAAGACAAAGAGACTGAGTTCATAGGGGAGACCAGTAGCCATCTGCAGCCAGACATCTGCAGACACTACAGCTAGTTTACACATACATTCATTTATACTTCTTTCTGATGCATATATGGACTCAAACAATATATTTAAAGTTATCAGTCATCTGGAATGAACTTACTTTGTGTCTATGGTTTCAGTCATTGGTGTAGTGAAGGGTAAACACATATCTTTTTCCCACTACATCACTGGTTTCAATGGTATACTATCCGTAGACACATAGCACCACGCATGAGCCAAGCATGAGCCAAGCAACTGTCTTACTGATCTCTCCTCCAGGACATGAAGATGAAGAGTTCTCAGACCATCCCTGTACGTGCTCTCCTCTGTTCCTACCAGTGCTTTAATAAGAGCGGACATTCGTACTATGGTGTTGCATCTGTATGAAGATGTACTTCCATTAAAACATATATTTGGTATAATATAAGTAAGTAGTTCCTGTTCTTTCAATCCAAAATGTATTATCTGCATGTCCACCAGATGGCAGCAGAGGACCATAGAAAGAGGCCAGGCTCCTGACACAATACCATAAGGCCCAAACAATGAGCTAGATTGGACAGAGAGCTAGATTGGACAGAGAGCTAGGTTGGACAGAGAGCTAGGTTGGACAGAGAGCTAGCTTTGTTGGACAGAGAGCTAGCTTTGTTGGACAGAGAGCTAGCTTTGTTGGACAGAGAGCTAGGTTGGGCAGAGAGCTAGGTTGGACAGAGAGCTAGGTTGGACAGAGAGCTAGATTGGACAGAGAGCTAGGTTGGACAGAGAGCTAGGTGGGACAGAGAGCTAGGTGGGACAGAGAGCTAGCTTTGTTGGACAGAGAGCTAGCTTTGTTGGACAGAGAGCTAGGTTGGACAGAGAGCTAGGTTGGACAGAGAGCTAGATTGGACAGAGAGCTAGGTTGGGCAGAGAGCTAGGTTGGACAGAGAGCTAGGTTGGACAGAGAGCTAGATTGGACAGAGAGCTAGGTTGGACAGAGAGCTAGGTTGGACAGAGAGCTAGGTTGGACAGAGAGCTAGGTTGGACAGAGAGCTAGGTTGGACAGAGAGCTAGGTTGGACAGAGAGCTAGGTGGGACAGAGAGCTAGGTTGGACAGAGAGCTAGGTTGGACAGAGAGCTAGGTTGGACAGAGAGTATAGAGAGTTTGACGTTGAACACACTATAAGTAACACTATAAATAAATTAACCACATGTATGACATTTTATATACAAAGGATGGTACATTGTTCTGTCTTTTCAGTTATAGACATGTTATTGCTATATTATAAATACAGACTTGAGAAACATTTACTTCTAGGCTATTGCATTCATAATATGTTTAAAATATTTTTTTACATTTTAGTAATTTAGCAGACGCTCTTATTCAGAGCGACTTACAGTTAGTGAATGCATACATTTTCATACTGCCCCCCCGTGGGAAACAAACCCACAACCCTGGCGTTGCAAGCACCATGCTCTACCAACTGAGCTACAGGGGACATAGAAATATGTTCCTCAATGAAATATCTAAATATATTTTAATACTTTATACAGCTATGGTTTTATAAATTTGTACATTTTCATTTCATCAGTGGTATTTCTATCCTCTTCTAGTCTGTCTCTCTCATTTCCTCCACCTCTATTCTCTCTCTCTCAGGCCGATGGAATCTGTTCATTCCTCCTCGCTGCCTTCAGAGTGCAGAGAGCTCAGCTTGTTGCATTGTCTACAGACAGACAGACAGACAGACAGACACACAGAGTTGGGTCTGGCTCATGAATGATGCATAATGTTTAATTGCAAACCCAGAAATGAATGACTTTGGACTGATTAAGAGCAGGGGAACCATATAAAAAATAAAAAAAAGTAACTAATTGATGAATAATTAAGGCCGTGCAAGGAAGGGCGGCTTGGAGCTCAGAGCTACAGGGCATCATTGGGACATTTGGTTTCAATCAATTCCAAAGTGCTAGTCAGGATGAGAGGGAAGGTGCACTCAGGAGAGAGACGGCCATGACAGAGGACAAGAGACGGCCATGACAGAGGACCAGAGACGGCCATGACAGAGGACCAGAGACGGCCATGACAGAGGACCAGAGACGGCCATGACAGAGGACCAGAGACGGCCATGACAGAGGACCAGAGACGGCCATGACAGAGGACCAGAGACGGCCATGACAGAGGAACAGAGACGGCCATGACAGAGGACCAGAGACGGCCATGACAGAGGACCAGAGACGGCCATGACAGAGGGACCAGAGACGGCCATGACAGAGGACCAGAGACGGCCATGACAGAGGACCAGAGACGGCCATGACAGAGGACCAGAGACGGCCATGACAGAGGACCAGAGACGGCCATGACAGAGGACCAGAGACGGCCATGACAGAGGACCAGAGACGGCCATGACAGAGGACCAGAGACGGCCATGACAGAGGAACAGAGACGGCCATGACAGAGGAACAGAGACGGCCATGACAGAGGACCAGAGACGGCCATGACAGAGGACGAGAGACGGCCATGACAGAGGACCAGAGACGGCCATGACAGAGGACCAGAGACGGCCATGACAGAGGAACAGAGACGGCCATGACAGAGGAACAGAGAGGATGTCCTGTTGGAATAAAAGCCTGTCAGGTTCGTAGTCATATTTAATGGCTTTTACTTAGGGCCCCGAATGGACAGGCAGACATTAGAATACGGGGACACGTTTTAATTTGACCCCTCACTCAGTGTCATATATATATCAAGGCCATTCGATGTCCAACCCAGCAGCAGGTTCCTTCATGTTCAGCTTCACATAGCAGCTACAGCAGAGCCTGGATTCGAACCAGGATCTCTAGTGGCACAGCTAGCACTGCGATGCAGTGCCTTCACATAGCAGTGCTTTGGTTTGTCTCATTTGTTTTTGAAAAGCAGTTGTCAAGTGAGTGTCCATAATATACCACCAGCGCTGGCATTGTGGAGAGCACATCTGGATGTTTCTCCTTCTACCCCCAGGTCACAACCAAAGGCCACCAGGGCACGCTGTAGTGTGTGAGTGTGTGAGTGTGTGAGTGTGTGTGTGAGTGTGTGTGTGAGTGTGTGAGTGAGTGTGTGAGTGTGTGAGTGTGTGAGTGTGTGAGTGTGTAGTGTGTAGTGTGTAGTATGTAGTGTACCTTCTGATGTCTTGCCTGGGAGAGGCAGGTCACTGCTCTGGCATGACCCAGTCCTCAGGAGAAAGGACATGAGAGATTATTGTGTGTGTGTGTGTGTGGTGTGTGTGTGGTGTGTGTGTGTGTGTGTGTGTGTGGTGTGTGGTGTGTGTGGTGTGTGTGTGTGTGTGTGTGTGTGTGTGTCTGTGTGTGTGGTGTGTGTGTGTGTGTGTGTGTGTGGTGTGTGTGTGTGTGTGTGTGTGTGTGTGTGTGTGTGTGCGTGTGGTGTGTGTGTGGTGTGTGTGTGGTGTGTGTGTGTGTGTGTGTGTGTGTGTGTGTGTGTGTGTGTGTGTGTGTGTGTGTGTGTGTAGTAAGGACATGAGAGATGAACATGCTGCATTATCCCAGACCAGGCAGCAGATGTTGGGTCCTGCAGCAGAGAGAGGCCTGGAGCTGTGTCTGGTGTCAGACCACTGTTCAGCTGCTTCCCAAATGGCACCCTATTCCCTATGTAGTGCACTACTTTAGACCAGAGAATGGCACCCTATTCCCTATATAGTGCACTACTTTAGATCAGAGAATGGCACCCTATTCCCTATATAGTGCACTACTTTAGACCAGAGAATGGCACCCTATTCCCTATATAGTGCACTACTTTAGATCAGAGAATGGCACCCTATTCCCTATATAGTGCACTACTTTAGACCATGGTCCATAGGGCTCTATTGGGATGCAGTCTTCCTCTACCTCTCCACAATAGGATCACTTTGTTCAGATAGATACACAACCCTGCTTTCGTTTGTGTGTGTGTGTATATTTGTCATGTTGTCAGGTTACCTCCTGTTGTTAGGTTACCTCATGTTGTTAGGCTTCCTTGTGTAGAATATCTGTTTATTTATTTATTTATTTATTTTTGTCATTTAGCAGACGCTCTTATCCAGAGCGACTTACAGGAGCAATTATGGTTAAGTGCCTTGCTCAAGGGCACATCGACAGATTTTTCACCTAGTCGGCTCGGGGATTAGAACCAGCGACCTTTCGGTTACTGGCACAACGCTCTTACCCACTAAGCTACCTGCCGCCCCAGTTTATACATTATAATGTACTGGTGCTGGGGTAGAGCTCCTTTCTCTCTCTCTCTCTCTCTCTCTCTCTCTCTCTCTCTCTCTCTCTCTCTTTCTCTCTCTCTCTCTCTCTCTCTCTCTCTCTCTCTCTCTCTCTCTCTCTCTCTCTCTCTCTCTCTCTCTCTCTCTCTCTCTCTCTCTCTCTCTCTCTCTCTCTCTCTCTCTCTCTCTATCTCTGTCTGTCTGTCTGTCTGTCTCTCTCTGTCTCTCTCTCTCTCTCTCTCTCTCTCTCTCTCTCTCTCTCTCTCAATTCAATTCAATTCAATAGACTTTATTGACATGGCAAGTAAAATTACTTACATTGTCAAAGTATACATATACCAAAAATGGTGGGACCAACAGCAATAATAATAGTAGTAGTGGAAATGGGATTACCATTAGCAGCAACTACAACAACAATATTAATGAGAATAACAATACATTAAAGCAATAGTAGTCGACCAATCTCAACATGACTGAGAAGACACATTACATGCTATGAAAGCCAAAACAAAACAGGAAATATTATTACATTACACTTTTCACTGGCTGTCCCTCAGGTTGTGGCAGGAGGACACATATTTGGCTGCCAAAATTACACATTTAGGCTTTTCACCCAATAAATATTTGATTTTTTCTTCCTCTTTTATAGTTTCAAATTCTTTGTACTGAATGATAATTTTGGGAAAGAAAGATTCTCTTAGGTCAGAGTATTTTTCACAGTGTAATAGGAAATGCAGCTCTGTCTCTAACTCTCCCCGGGGGCAGAGTGCGCACAGCCTGTCCTCTCTGGGCAGCCAGGTTTGCCTGTGACGACCGGTCTCTATAGCCAGACTGTGCTCACTGAGTCTGTACCTAGTCAGTGTTTTTCTCAGTTTTCTATCAGTCACAGTGGTCAGATAGTCTGCCACCATGTACTGTCTGTTTAGAGCCAAATAGCATTGACGTTTACTTTGATTTTTTGTGGTGTCTTTCCAATAGGTGATATATTTTTCTTTTTGCTTTGTGATGATTTGGTTGGGCCAGATTTTCTGAGTGCTGTCCTGAGGCTCTATGAGGTTGGTTTTGGTTAGTGAAC